AAAATATGTTTTATACATACGCTTATATCAATCGCTAATAGTACAATATTGTCGTAATTTGAATACCAGCCGCTGAAAGTTACCGAGTTTTCCTTGTTCTTGTTGATTTCTTAATCTTGATAGGAAGCAAGGAAAATTGATGAATATTTTGTATTCGTGACGTTGACGATAATAATGCTTTGTGTGAGATCTCTAAAAAATTAAAATGAGTCCTCTTATTTATGTATATATAATAGATCGATATCAAGTATATACATTGCTTTCGCGCGTGATGTGCGTTTAATTTAGTTTATCCAAGGTGTACGGATTTTGCTTAAAACATTCGGATATGGGACCGAAACGAACGTACGTGTCTCACTGCAATGTCGTTATATTTTTAAAAAATCGTATGCTTGGACTAATAACGGATCCAAAATGGCGCAGCTCCGGCTTGAAGATCCAAAAACTTTAACAGAACTTTGCCGCACACTTACATGGGCTCGGGAGAAACATGCATCATGAATTCCGCTTCTTATTTAAGCCCAATGAACACATTTTTCTGCAGAATAATGCTTTTATTTTCTTAATAACATAAATCTTAATAACATAACTCTTGTTGTACTTAATTCGGTTTCTAATTGAGAAGGACTTTATTTGCCTATATTCTCGATTGACAGCTTCGTTTGCATACAGCACATTGCACGATCATATTGTGCACAACGCATTGCATACACGACAATATTACATACATGACCGTATTGTACACAGGATCATATTGTACACATTGAAATGTCTTGCAATAGCCCTAACTTATCAGTCTGATTTATCCATAGAATCAATAATGATGAACTCGCGTACATTGGAAGGAGTATATTAGCGGTAATATAAAATAATAAGAAAAATAATAAATAACACTAATTTTAATAAATATACCGAGGGGAGTCTGCCCCGATGACTTTGACCTTAATATATGTTATCAAGTTTTGACCTTAATATATATTATTATTACTCTAACAGCATATCAAATGTTTTAGCTGTTGCTCGTTATTGAAAAGTTATTAATAAAAAAAGTATTAAAAATATAATAACTTATATGAGTGCTAAAGGCATAATTTGCTAATATATATATAAAAAAATTATAAATCCATACTACCGAAAGAATCTAACCTAACCTAACCCATATCACAGTGATAGTTAAATATTATTGTCAAAAATTGTAAATCTGTATGGAACCTTGCTTCGCGTTGGAAAGTGTATGCGTGAAGACAGTATGTTCCGCCTCCCATACGGGGGGAAGGGGGAGACTCCACTATCGAAAGATCTAATCTAACCCAACCCGTATTACAATGATAGTTAAATATTACAATAATGATATGATACACAATGATATTTAATTATCACTATGCGATATTATCGTGTATGCAATGCGTTGTGCGCAATACGGTCGTGTGTGCAATGCGCTATGTACAATATGATCCTGTGTGCAAGGTGCTGTGTGCAATATGCTGTGTGCAAACGAAGACAATCAGGAGTGTAAACAAACGGGACCCTCCCTTTGATTGTACAAGATATTTCGAAGACAAAAGAAAGGTGCTAATGGAAGAGTGTACTACGCATCATTAATTGACAAGCCGAAGGCAGAAATTGCGAAAAAAACGGCCACATTTGAAGAAGGAAAAAGTGCTGTTCCATCAAGATAACCCATCGACACTTCGGTGGTCGCCATGGCAAAAATTCACGATTTGCGGTTCGAACTGGTTGATCATCCACCGTATTCATTAGATCTCTTAGCGACTTTTTCCTGTTTTCTAGGCTCAAAGTTTGACTCGGGGGACAGAAATTTTCGTCGAATGAGGTCATCGCATCCTATTTTGCAGAGCAAGACGCCAACTATTATTTGAATAGGTTAAAGAGATGGGAACATTACTGGGAAAAATGTTTAGATTTAAAAGGAGATTATGTTGAAAAATAAAATTGAATTTGATCGAAAAAATACTTGTTTTTATGGCAAAATTTTTAGACGACGCTCGTATATCACAAGAGCTAGCAACCTACAAACCGAGAGCCCAATCACGAACCAGTCATGAAAATTCATAATTATGATTTTTGCGAAAAATCACCTCAACCAAAAATCGAATCTAGATTCTCTGTACAAGTATCTTATCCTTCCAACTATTGAGGCATGTGATGATATTTATTGCAATAATGTGTTGTTTACAACAACACGTTAAACAATATAATATCATATATGCACATATGTTACAATATACATATATGTATATATTCTCGAATCCTTACGATCGATACTTCAGAGTGATGGTGGCCTTACTTTCGATGGATGCAATTCAAACGAATACATGTATACGCAGAGCGTGCTCGATTTCCACCAATCCATTGCCATCTAATGTCAACAGAATGTAAGCAGAATGCGACTTCATATGTTGTCAGTCTGCTAACATTTTCTGTTCAAATCTGTTACCAGTCTGTCAATATTCTGTTAATAGTGATTGATAAAATATCTCGTAAATTATTCATTTTTTATAATCATATTTTAATATTCTTATCCAGTAATGAGACAAATTAACTGAAAAAAGTACATAATTTAAAAAGAATCACGCAATTAGCAACATGCAAGTATGTATTTTTTTAAAAAATCAACTATATGTTTTCTGTATTTTCATTATTTCATTATTTTGCATAGAAGTATCAAGATATTTATCAAAAAATAAATACTTTATGAAATATTTTACACTTTGGTTAATGAAAATCAGCGCTGCAAACAATGCGTAAATTGTATATTTAATCTTAACTTTGTTTATTAATTAAAAGTGTTAAACATTTCGATTCAAATTTGGATGTTCAGTAATACAAAAATGTAGTAAGGATATATATTTGAGTCCAATTAATGAACCCAATCATATAAAAAATGATAACATGTCACTTACGTCAGTTAACCAAATGAAATTATTAAATTTTAATGTGAAATAGTATTCAAATTGTTCATATGAAATAAAAAGGAAAGGATAGTTATAAAATGATTGTCACTCATCAAATGGATAAAAACACTCAAGAGAACAGTATAAATCTCGTTACAGCATATCGCAAGCATAAACTTCGAGATAGTAACTGAGAACAATAATGATTTTTGCAATTGACAAGATCTCAACCAAAATAAGTTTACAACTTATTCGAGAAACTCAATCGAGTAAATATTCGATATCAGATTGTCAATTTAAGTTATTAGTCTGTCTTTTAATGAAAAGCATTTCGGAAATCACTAGCTATTATAGATTACGTTTACTATCCAAAATTTTATCTCAAACAAATTCATGATCGCAATTTATCCTGTAATTCAGTAATTACCAAATGTGTTTTAGTATTTCTACGAATGTGATTCTGATGTTCATTTAGTCTCGTTTTTTAATTATCTCATAGTCTGTCTCACATAGTCTGTCTCACATATGCATCACAATCGCTATAGCAGATCTTGTATACGACATTTCTTTTAAAATATGAGCGTTCTTATGAACTCTGATCCAACCTTTCAATTTATTCATACTAAAAAACGCAAGTTTAGCGTCAAAATCACTAATAATTTTTTGATAAAAATTTTTTGATAAAAATTTTCGAAATAAAGTATATATTAACGTAAACCATTTTGTTTTTCACGAGAATACTTAAAATTATTGATATGTCTTCTCTTGATATGTTTAAAAAGAAATTTTAATGAATGAATAAAGTTGAAAGGATAATCATTCATTAATAAGGTAATCATTATAAATTTAAGTTTTTCTCATGGTATTTTGGATGATAATAAGAACGCTCTATCAATGAGTCCAGCAATAGTATCGCTTTTTTGGATGAGAGAGTGTTGAGAGTAAACGTTAAAATACCTTCCCGAGAATGTAAGTTTATGAAACCAAATTCTACTATTATTATCTATTATTAACAATTCTCATGGTTAATCAAAAAAATTCAAAAAAACTTACTCCTCCAAATCTCAATTATAAATTGTAGTCTAGGGCGGTAAGATTTAAATCTTCTAATATGACTGATAGAGAATCTCTATCAGTCATATTAGAAGAAATAGCTATTGCAATGTCGTAGACATATCTATGAATAAATGATAAAGGTAAACTCTCAAGAGCCTTTTCTTTCAAATCTCTTAATACTAAATCAACTATAATCGGTGATAATGAAGAGAACCCATGGATGTTCTAAATATTGTTTAATGTTTGTTGTCGTATAGTGTAACGTTTTATAAATTTTATTATCAAAAGTGTATCCTTACTACATTTTTGTACTACTGAAGATGACTCAAATTCGAGTCGAAATGTTTGATTTTTTTTATTAATAAACGTAGTTAAGATTAAACATATAATTACGCACTGTTTAAAGCGCTGATTCTCATTAGCCATATTAGTTTATTTCTATTATATCGAGTATCTTTTTTCTACTAATATTTTATATATTGTTATAATAGCCCAAAATAATATATAAAATATTTCTAACTATAAACTATTGACTTTTTTGTATCTTACTCTTTTATCCAGAATAATTAGAGGAATTATATTATATATTATATATATATATATATATATATATATATATATATATATATATATATATATATATATATAATAAATAATATATAT